TCTTCATTAAAAGCAACAAAACAAAATGTAAAATATATAAAATTAAATATCTGTTGTCATAAAATAAATTTTTTTTAATCATGAATTTTTTTTATAAAATATGAAAATATTATTTTTTTCTTATGATAAAATATCTATATTTGGAACATACAGATAAGGATTATGACATAATTTTTCAATCAGTTCTGCGATGCTATTTCTGTATCACTAATGTGCGTCAAGGAAAATTCGCTTCTTTGCGGACGCATCGTAATTTCAAAATTTCAAATATCTCGCGGTTAATCTAGCCATAACATATGCGCGGCACAACTGAAAAATGAGATATATTTTATCGTGCAAATCTGAGATGGCCGCAATAACACTGTAAATCCCATAAAAGCATAGCGCAACTCAATATGTTTCCATCAAGTTCATCTTCTGTACTCGTCTCCTATCGCTCTTATGTGTGAAACTATTATTGGTGCTACGTAATTAAGAATTTAGATTTGTATTCAAGTCTTTTGTCGGTTTTCGCAACCCGCCAAGTTGTATCACCATATATCTACTTCGTATAGCTAGTCAAACGATTCATAAAGGACAAAGTTACGTTCACCTACGTTAAGTAATGGTTTGCAGCCACGTCAGTGTTAATTGCGTTTAGGGTTTGCGTATATAAGCGATTCGGTAGGTAAATCCCTTGGGGTTTTACTAATTCGAGTCAAACCATGCATGAACATTAGCGGCCAGCGTTTCTCATCTGTGATATACGAAGGAAATCAATCAAGCGATATGCATCTAAATTGGCTTGTGACCTTGTCGTAATTAATATTGCGTTAAGATTATACGAGATTTTCTCTATTTTCATACAACTTTCGCTTTAACATCTTAATGTGATAATAAACTTCAAAAAGGAAATTTGGAGGACATTGTCTTAAGAGCTTTAGAAATAAAATATTGTTAATCGAAAATGACTTTGTTCCGTATGTAATAATCCTAGGGATGATCTATGTGGACTTTTAAGTGCAATATATTACTCACGTATATATCCATACATTTCTGTGAGCGATAACGTAATAAATATTTAAAGAAAAGATACAATCTAGTAAGTAACAATAAGTATAAAAATAAAAATAAAATTCATGAGTTTGATGAAATATGATGATGCGAATGCTAAAGTTTATTCTTTTATTTATTATATATATATTTTTTTTAATTAGAAAAAATTTAATAAAAGAATCGATCTATGTTCATCTCGATATCGAAGATGCTTTTGTGAAGATTGAAGATATTATGAATGAATGACAAAAAAAGTAGCTTTGGGGGCACTTTCTTTCATCGATGACGAGAAGCAAAAGGAAATGAGGAAACTCGGAGCGGGTGAGTGATCGAGGAAGTAAACGGAGAAATCTGCCTCCCAACGGGTATTGTGAGTACTGCTTTCTCAGCCGTAATATTGGAAGTTTACGAGGTTTGCCGTAATCGAATCTCGTTGTACAGCCACAGAAAACCTTTAGCAATCTGCTAGAGGGCCGATGCGACGTTGACATGTCACGGAAATGTGAGCTTTATCAGAAATGACGCACGATATACTAAAGTTTGACGATGTTTTAAACAAGCGAGATTTCGCACTTTCAATGCGAGAAAATTAATTCGAGTCAAGAAAAAGTTTATATACAATGTTATGATTTTTATCATTAAAATTGAAGAAAAAAAGAAAATATTTCTTCGATTTTAATTCTATCATGATTAAATTACGGTTATATGAGTGGCAAAAAATCAAAAAGTGTTAAAATTTACTGTTTTAATTATATCATAACATACTTACTATGGCTGCACAGTTAAAATCGAAATTGATACTTAAGTCGCAATTTAATTAAGTATTTGTACTTATAGTTAAGTTTCGAAGTATAAGCAGATAATGAGCGGAACGCACGATAGTTACATTACTCTCGCCTTGTCTCAGTTAATTACTTTATATGCATATCAAGGAACTAATTAACCATTCCGAATAAACTTTCGTTTACGATCAATTTCCGTCGCGAAAGTGCAATGACCGGGCGAAATATAATACAAAAATAAAATAAAATAAGAATAAATCAACGTAAAAATCAACGTAAATATCAATATATATATATATA